GGATGGATGGATGGATGGATGGATGGATGGATGGATGGATGGATGGATGGATGGATTTCTCACCACCAGTCATCCAAGCCTCCCATCAAGCTCTGAGTGCCACATTAATGCACGATTCACACTTATTTGAGACTTCCGGGAAGATGGCGCCGGTGCTGGTGGCTTGCCATTCACCTCTGTCTGTTTTGATTGTTTTTTCTGTTTTTGTCATTTTTCTTCGGTGACATCAACTCACTGCTTGTTTATGATCGCCAACAACTTTGAAATATATAGTTATCTACTGCAAACCCCGCCTTGTTCGACCACTTTGATCGGGGCTCTGGACCCCCACCCCCTCTGCTTGTTGATGTCTCGGTTTACCTGCAGTGCGCGGCATTTCTGCCCGCCCGAAAACATTACTCCAGGTACCGTGGAAGACGTGCTGGCTGTCTCATGAGGATTAAAGCCAGCATCAAGCTCTCTGTTGCTTCGTCATCTGCTGCTGACCATCAGATGTTAAACTGTCTATCCGGATGCTTCACTGACCCACTCAACTCCACCCTGCTTCAGGTGGCCGGGCCTGGTACGCGTAGCGGGCATGCGCGCAGCGGGCGCGCGTGCAGCCGCGGCGGTTTTGGTCATCTCCAGTGGAACTTAACCAACTCTGGACTGTCTGTTGCATCATCTACTGCTGACCATCTGCTGGATATTCGCCTGTCCGGGTGCTTCGCTGATCCTGCTGGGTCCTGCCTGATCCCCATAGTCGAGCCTGGCTCGCGCCACGGGCGCGCGCACAGCTGCGGCACCTCTGGTCCTAGGAGGCGCGCTTCAATCTCCAAAAATCTGAAACAGCTGATCTGTGCTCCGAGCTCAGCTTTTCTTTCAGCTACTGGTCCTACAAAGATTGCTCTGTTGAATGTGAGGTCGCTGGCAAATAAAACCTTCATCTTAAATGACTTTTTCTGCTCCAATGGACTGGACTTCATGTTTGTTACAGAGATCTGGCTCGTCCCTGGTGAGTTAAGTGTTTTTTCTGAACTTTTGCCGGTGGATTGTGCCTTTTTTAATGCTCCAAGGACTTCTGGTAGGAGTGGTGGATTATTAACAGTTTTTAAAAATCTCTGGAACTGCAGACAGCTACAAGCTGTAACTTTTCAGTTTTGAACTGCTGTATTTTGAGCTGGGCCGCACCAACCCAACACTGTGCAGCCTGATCTACAGACCACCCTCGTACAACAAAAACTTCGTAAGTGAATTTTCTGACTTTCTGACTGGAATACTGCTCAATTACGACAGGGTCTTGATTCTGGGAGACTTTAATGTACATGTTTGCTGTCCTGACAAGCCTTTGGTGCAGAAGTTTCTAAATCTGATCCAATCTTTCAACCTTGTGCAAAATGTTGTTGGTCCAACTCATCAACAGTTGATTTAGTTCTGTCTCACGGATTGTCTGTGGTTAATCTGGAAATTGGGGATGCTATTGTTTCAGATCACAAACCCATTTCATTTGAAACCTCTGTTATTCATGCGTCTAAATCCCCCGCTCCAGCCAAGAGTTGTCGGATATTTAACTCTTCAACCGCTGCTCTTTTTCCTCTGCATTCAGTACTGATGCTGCTTCAGTCCCTGAAACCTCTGCCTGTATTAGTACACAGGAGCTGCTCAGTCCCTGAAACATCTGCCTGTATTAGTACACAGGAGCTGCTCAGTAGGCATGATGCGACCTGCTCTAAGATTTTAGACCTCGTGGCCCCGCTAAAAATCAGGCGACCAAAGCAGGCACCACACCACTGGTTGAACGCGACCACTCGAGCAGCCAAACGTCTATGCAGGAGAGCTGAACGCAAGTGGAAAAAGGACAAATTACATGTTTCTTTTATTATATTAAAAACGTGTTTGAAAGATTATCAGAGCATCGTTAAATCTGAAAAGAACAAATACTTCTCCCAAATCATTGCTTCAAACAGTCAAAATCCCCGTGTTCTTTTTAATACCATAAATTCCATTTTAAACATGCCTTGGTCTGCCAGCATGGAGGCCTCTGTTGACATCTGCAACAACTTTACCAGATACTTTGCTGATAAGGTAGAGTTGACTAGGTCATCCATCCCCCAGTCCACAACTGACCCCTCTGTCTTTGTCCCTTGCTCAGCTGTCTTCAAACAGTTTGAACCAATTTCACTCCCAAAGTCGTTGGTCAGATGAAACCCTCCGGTTCTCCTGCTGACCCCATTCCTGCGTCGTTTTTCAAACAAGTTCTACCCACGATTGGACCCTCTGCTCTTACTATTATAAATAGTATTACTGTGACAAGTGTGGTTCCTGATGTTTTCAAACATGCAGTAGTTCATCCGTTAATTAAGAAACCTGGACTTGACCCTTCGACTTGCTCAAATTTCAGACCAATCTCAAAACTTCCCTTCCTGTCCAAAATCCTGGAGAAAATAGTTTTCATTCAATTAAACAAGTTTTTGAATGAGAACAGAATCTTCGAGATTTTTCAATCTGGTTTTAAGCAACTCCACAGCATTGAAACAGCATTGGTAAGGGTTTGTAACGATATTATGATATCATTCATTCATTCAACCTTTATTTAAACAGATAAATCACATTGAGCCTCGAAGACTCATTTACAAGTGAGACCTGTTTGGACAGACAAAAACAGTGGTTAACTAGACACATGTAGGAGTTGGAGGTGAAAAAAATTCCTATCAGACTTTTTTCTTGGCTGAGAAAAATCCCTAATATTGAAAAAACACCTCGCACAAACAAGCACATATTTACGTAAACATTCTGCAGAGCAGAGCAGGAAGAAGGAAGAGACGAGACCGGTCAACAACGTCTACAGATGCTCTCGAGGTCACTGTAATCAGTCAATGTCCTCCGGTAAGATCCATAAACATTCTCGAGGTATGTCGAGGAATGGCCAAGAATAACCTCTGAGAATCCAGAGTCCTGAAATGATGGCAGAAAGTTTTTTCTGCGGGGTTTCATCTGGTTATCAGTTGGAAATTCCTCAGGGAGGGGGTGGTGAGCGTCAGATCACATTTTCTCCAGGCGAAATTCAGATAAGGTGGCCTTCAAGGACACCAAGGCGACCATATCAAACGATTCTGGTCAATTTGTGAAACTTGTGCTCCTGGACCTTACTGCTGCTTTTGATACTGTTGACCACAATATCCTTATATCACGGCTGGAACAGTGGGTTGGGATCACAGGTGCTGCATTAGAATGGTTCTGCTCATACCTGAGTGGCAGGAGTTTCTGTGTCAAAGTTGGTAATAATGTATCCGCCTCATTACCTCTTTCTTGCGGTGTCCCACAGGGTTCGATTCTTGGACTCCTTCTGTTCTCAATTTATTTGCTCCCACTGGGGTCCATCCTGAAGAAACATTGTCTTTCATGCCATTGCTATGCTGATGACTGCCAGATCTACCTGCCTGTGAAACCAGCAAGTGTTTGCTCCATTCACCCTCTGTTAAAATGTCTGGATGACATTAAGGCCTGGATGGCTTCAAATTTCTTAAGTTTTAACAATGAGAAGACTGAAGTCATTGTCTTTAGCCCTAGCTCAACTGCCGCCACTGATCCTGTCAACCTGGACTCTCTTCAGCCATATCTTAAGCAGTCTGGTAAAAATCTCGGGATGGTTTTAGACTCTGACTTCAAGTTTGACAAACAAATAAACTCTGTTCTGCAGAAAAGCTTCTTCCAACTCAGACAGGTAGCTAAGCTCAAGCCAGAGTTTTCCAGACCCGACCTTGAGAAACTAGTCCATGCCTTTGTCACGACCCGATTGGACTATTGCAATGCACTCTATGCTGGGATCAGCCAGGCCTCTATCTCACGTCTTCAGCTCATCCCGAATGCTGCTGCTTGCTTTTAACCGGAACTCGTAGGTCTGAACATATTACTCCAGTTCTGTCCTCCCTTCACTGGCTCCCTGTTCGTACGAGGATAGTCTTGTAAAATTCTTCTGTTGACCTTCAAATGCTTAAATGGCCTTGCACCCCTTTACCTCTCTGAGCTTCTGGAACCTTACGTTCCCTCTCGGGCCCTGAGATCATCCGAGCAGTTGCTTTTGGCTGTTCCAAAAACAAGACTGAAGCTTAGAGGAGATTGGGCTTTTTCAGTCATGGACCCCAAACTCTGGAACAACCTGCCCCACAACATCAGGTAGGCCACAGCCCTTCATCACTTCAAATCCCTGCTTAAAACACATCTGTTCTCACAGGCATTTCATACAGTGTAAATTGATCTAGTGTTTTTTTTAATCTGTGACCCTATGTTTTAAATGCTTTTTATTAATTCTTCAGTTATTATTATTAGTGTATTGTATATATATATATTTTTTTTCTCTTTAATTTTACTCATTGATTGTTGTTGTTGTTGTTGTTAAGCACTTTGATAACAGGTTCTGTTTTAAATGTGCTCTATAAATAAAGTTGACTCGACTTGACTTGACTTATTTCAAGTGGCTGCAAATAATTTGTTGTGCCCTCAGGGAGGGGAGCACAATGAGGAGGAGAAAACAAGGAGGGGGTGTTGGGGAGAACGAAGTTTCACACTGTGACTTGTTCTGTAATTTCATTGCTCAGACTATATATGTTTTAATATCTTTATTTATACAAGTAGTCTTAGTGAGTTATGAAGACCCACCCCCCAAGAGAGATGTGTGTTGGGAGGCTACATGAGCACTCAGGTGTGATGTGGCTAAATGTTTTGGTGGCATGAAGCTCATCAGTTCGCCAAAACAAAAATCCATAAATTAGCCAAGGTATTGCATAAGCCGCGGTGTTCAAAGCATGTGAAAAAAGTAGTGGTTTATAGTCTGGAAATTATGGTAAATTGACTCACTTTTTAAACAAACTTTTTTCCCAATATTTGCTAAATTGCAGTTAGAGAAAAATGTAATTTTACTTGACATTTACCTTCACATTAATATACACAATATGGAAACGTTCTTTGTATTGACTGAATGTTTCTGTCGTACCTGGAGAGAAACTGATCCGATCAGATGAATAATCTTGTTGTCTCTTTCCACCATCTTTTGGAAGACTGGATCTTCGTATTCAAACCTCTTTCCAAACACCAGAGCTGATACAACATTTGAAACAGCGTAATTGATAGCCTGAGTGTTGTTGAAGGCTTTACCTATTTAAAAAAAATTAATAAATAAATTTTGTTAGGCTGTTAAACACTAATAATTATTGGGCTGCTGTTTAATATTTTGAAAACAAGATATGACTATGCTGGATTTATGTAAAATTGTTATTTTCATAATCAAGTTTCCCAAAGTGTAGTTTAACACATTTTTTTAAATCTAATTTTAATAGTATGCATTCGACCTTCACTTGTTCTCTAGCACAATAATAGTCAGTCTCATGTTTTACACATATTTTAAAAGTGAAGTTTGGCCACACTGATAGTTAGTACTTTTCTAACATATCAGATGGATTGAGCCACTGCAGCGTGTTAATTTACTGGTAGTTTATTTCTTATTGTAAACTGCGTAAACATGAACAAAATAATTTTTTTATGATACACGCTGCAACATCTCCAACTCGTGTTCCACAAAGAAACCTGTGTAGCACCTTAAAAAGTTACCTTTGTATTGTTTCATTTCTTCAATCAGATAGCCACATTCCTGTATGATTATCTCTTCACTCATCTTCTTGCCCATTCCAAATTTTCTCAAAGTTGTCAGAGCAAAATGTCTCATTTCTTTCCATGAGTCTCCATTAGAAAACAGAATGCCTGGAAACAGGTTCAGTTGACTGGTTTTTGAAAGGGCTTTTTTTTAACCAATTAATTTGTTTAAATATGTTTTTACCATGCCCTTGGGTAAAATCGTAGAAAAGAGGAGTGATTTCTCTGTTTCCAAACTCATCAGCCTGGTTCAGCAGAGCCTCTTTGACAGTCCTGTACCCTGCCAGAACCACCACCTTCTTTGGCCCAAAGTAGACTTGGAAAATTGGTCCAAATGTTCTTGACAGCTAAAAATATGATGCAGCTAAAGATGAGACATTACAAAAATCTGTTTTTCTGTCTGTCACTTGTAGAACAACAGAAATCCAAAAATTACTCACATGAAAAAGACTTTGGTCAAGTCTTTTCAGATCCACCTGGAGCAGGTTACCAAGCAGAGGAACAGGTCTGGGTCCTGGAAGTTCTCGACTTCTTGGGGAACCGAAGCTAGAGTAAAGAAGTTGGAGGACCAGGAGAACAACAAAGACCCCAAACAGAGAGACTGAAGTGGGGGATTGAAGAATAACTTCCATCATGTTCCTTGTGGACATAAACCCTTGAACTGTTCAGCTGTTTTAGTTCTGCCTTTCAGCTGACAACTTAACTCCTCATTGAGATGATGATGTAATTATCAGCTTAAACTTGACCGACTGGTTTTTCCTGCTTGACATGAGGACTAGAAACCTGAATTGAATCCAAGGGAGTCTAAAGAGATTAAAAAGTTGAATATGTTTTCTAACAAAGTCAAGTCAGGACTTCGGGATGGATTCTTCATTGTTGAAACATTTAATCTTTTATCCAAAATACTTCTTCAGTCTGAGGTGCTGCAACCTTGACTGAATTTCTGAATATTTGAAACCATGTGGCAAACTGCATAGCTGTGGGGTGGGACATACAAATGCCCCGCATTTGACAAGTGTTGTCCTGTTTATGCCATGTCTGTGTGGGAGGAGGGCTGCATATGGGCTGCTTGCAGGCTTCCTGCCACAGCTGGTTGAGATTGCCTTAATAAACTTAAATTGGCTGTAAAGAGCAAGTCCTCAGCTTTCGAAAACTGTAGTTATTTTTATGATAGCACAAACTATTGTAAAGTTACAGTAATGCAAACTGAGCTTGTAAAAATGTATCACTGGGGACATGCATGAAATAAAATGAATAACATTTGTGTTGTTGAAGTTCAGGTATGTTTATTCTCTGATTCTGGCATCAAACAAAAATTTAGCAGAATTGAAAATCCTAGAATGAATATTGCTTGGAGGGTTGTGTGTGTGCAAGCATGTGTGTGTTAATGCACACTAGCATGTGTGTGAGTGATTAGGTGTTGAACAAGTTTGGACTGTGATTGTCGTTTGTGTGTGTGTGTGTGCGTGCGTGCGTGCGTGCGTGCGTGCGTGCGTGTGTGTGTGTAAAGAGTTGGCTTACATGATGCAGAGAAGAAAGGTAGACGTTTTATGTGTCCAAAAGACCATGTGGAAGGGCAGCAAGGCTCGCAGCATTGGAGCAGGGTTCAAACTGTTTTACCATGGTGTGGATAGAAAGAGAAATGCAGTAGGGTGGTCCTGAAGGAGGAGTTGGCAAAGACTGTAGTAGAGGTGAAGAGAGTGTCAGATAGGGTGATGTGCCTGAAGGTAGAAGTAGAAGGTCTGATGCTAAACATTGTCAGTGGTTATGCTCCACAGGTTGGATGTGATGATGAGGAGAAAGATACATTTTGGAAAGATCTGGATGAAGTGATAGCGAGTGTTCACAGGGAGGAGAGAGTGGTGATCGGAGCAGACCTGAATGCACAAGTTGGTGAAGGAAACATTGGGGATGAAGAAGTGATGGGTAGGTTTGGTGTCAAGGAAAGAAACCAGGAAGGACAGATGGTGGTGGATTTTGCCAAGAGAATGGAAATGACTATAGTCAATACCTATTTCCAAAAGAGGGAGGAACATAGAGTGACCTATAAGAGTGGAGGAAGGCGTAGACAGGTCGACTACATTCTGTGTAAAAGAGGAAACCTGAGGGAGATTTGGGACTGTAAGGTTGTGGCAGGGGAGAGTGTGGCCAGACAGCATCAGATGGTTGTGTGTAGAATGACTGTTGTTGTGAAGAAGAGAAAAAGAGTAAAATCAGAGAAGTAGATCAAATGGTGGAAGCTGTAGAAGGAAGAATGTTGTGAGAAATTCAGAGAGGAGCTGTTAAAGGCTCTGGTTAGTAAGAAAGAGTGTCCAAATGACTGGGCTACTACAGCAACAGTAATTAGAGAGACAGGTAGGAAGGTACTTGGTGTGTCATCGGGACAGAGAATTGATGATAAGGAAACCTGGTGGTGGAATAGTGAAGTGCAGGAGAGTGTGACGGGAAGATGGAAGGAGTACTTTGAGGAGTAAATGAATGAAGAGAATGAAAGAGAAAGAAGAGTAGAGGTTATAGAAACTGTGGATCAGGAAGTGGGAAAGATTATTTAGGGTTAAGTCCGGAAAGCTCTGAAAAGAATGAAGAAGGGGAAGGCCGTAGGACCTGATGACATACCAGTGGAGGTTTGGAAATGTCTTGGAGAGATGGCAGTGAGGTTTTTGACTCAAATATTCAATGGCATATAGGAGGGTGAGAAAATGCCTGAGGAATGGAGAAAATATAGAGGAGAAAAATAGCACCTAGTGGCAGCAGATATAAAGAGAATAGAAGGGGACCCAGATGGACACTTGCGGTACCCCCCCCCCCCCCCCCACACACACACACACATTTGAGCTCTGCCATTGCTGAACTAAAATCTTTGATGGAGACACAAAATGTTCTGTCAGCTAGGTAGGATTTAAACCAATTGAGGTTTGACCCTGTGATGCCCACCGACTGCTCCAACCTAGCAATGAGGATCTCATGGTTGATGGTGTCAAAAGCAGATGCAAGGTCCAATAGGACAAGTAGTACAGAATCACCAGTATCTGTGGATAGGAAGATGTCATTAAAAACCTTCAGTAGAGCAACAAAGCCCATGCTCAATAATCCAGGTATAAAATCCAGCATTTTTCAGTCAGGTCATCTGGACAGTTTCTTTTTTGTGCTGAAACGTTTCACCTTCGATCCGGAAGGCTTCATCAGTCAAGGAAACACACAACACAAAACTGATTCTTCCCCCAACAGCTTACTCCAAAGTGGAACAAACCAGTTATGTAGGTGCTAAGATGGTCTCTTTCTCATGCCCTCTCCTCCATTGCCGGCCCTCTATCTTGTTGACGTTGTGTCAAACTGGTTGAAAACAACAAAGTCTATGCTCAATAACCCAGGTAAACAATCCAGCATTTTTCAGTCAGGTCATCTGGACAGTTTCTTTTTTGTGCTGAAACGTTTCGCCTTAGATCCGGAAGGCTTCAGTAGAGCAGTTTCAGTGCTGTGGAGAGGTTTAAAGCCAGATTGGAATAACTCTAAGATTGCGTGATCCTTTGCTTTGCCTTCTTTCCTGTCAGCAACAGGTGTTGCACGTGCTGACACAATTTTTCAGTCCTCCTCCAGCTCCTCTCTCCCACTGTTGATGGCAAGAGCACTTGGGAAAAGCCCTTCCCAAAGCAGCTTGTCTCAGTAACGTGCAAAGTCCCCGACTGAGTTTGGCTGTGGGACTGCGTAAAAAATGAGACATGAGATGACCCACGCCAGCAAAGCTGCTGTGCACGTGGACACATCTCTTCCTCCTCCTTCAGCTTCACTCTCCCACTTATCAGGTGGATGAGAGTGCTGAGATAAGCCCCGACCCCCCACCCCCCCCCCCCACCCCCACACCCCCAATCACAGAGTGAAAAGGTAAACTTAAAAAAAAAATGTTTAAAGGATGCAGAAACTTCATCACCTCTACACAGCCAGAATATGAACCTATGACAGGAGAGAGCACTCTGCCTATGGGTTTTTCTCCTCATTTTTTCCCCTCCTTCAGCCCCACTCTCCAATCTGACGGTGAAGGCGGGCATCCTTTTTACCAAGGATCTCCTCTGAGAAGGAAACACGGGAAATGCTGGTAAGGAACATTCCTAATTTACTGTTCTTTTTCAAATTTATGGAAAATAAAAATAACCGTTATAGCACAATTAGCCAGCAGAAAAGTTTGACAAATGTTATCAACATTTTGGATTTATGTTCATGTATGCCATATTGAGGATGATATTTTACAAGGTTTCAACAACATCAGTTTGATAGGACTTCCCTTTTGAGTTGACCCGTAAAGTTATATAGTCCTTAGGGTTCAGGCGACAAAGTGGCCCTTGGGCGTCAGCTGACGGCCAAATTGGGCCCAGTAACAGTCCAAGGTTCCTGAGTGGCAAAGGTTCTCCCCTGAACTTGTGAACATTTTCCTATATTGGCCCAATGGGGCATGTGGATTAATAGTTCTCTACTTTTGCTTATTGAAGCCTATGGATTAACATTTTTCTACTTTTGCTTATCAAAGCTTGAGGATTAATATTTTTCTATTTTTGCTCATCAGAGCTTATGGCTTAATAACTCTCCATTTCATCTTATCAGAGCTAGGAGTTACAACACAAATTGGACTGTCAATCCTGTGGAGACCAAAGCTGAACATTATGAGCAGCTGGTCCTAGAAGACATGGATGATGAGGACTCGCAAATTCAATGTGCCAAGCTGCGCATGGACCAAGGACAATGTCTCACACCAGTTTGGTATCAACTTAAACAGGCGATCCCACCTGTCAGGTATGTGAAGGCAAGGCATTGAGGGTGGTAGCACAGGGGCAAAGAGGTGAAATCAATTTTGATTAAATGCTTCTACAAAAAACCACTGTCTCTCAGATGGACCAGGCAGTGAAATTATATGATTTAGAGCAGCAATACTATGAAGAACGCAGAAAGAAAGAAACTAAACAGAGTGTCAAACCACCTACAAAGGCTGCTCTGAAAGCCCCAGCTCCCTCAGAGTACAAAGAATGGCCATCAGGATCACAAGACAGAAATCAATAGCCTAGGAGATTTCCAGCTCCAACATCAACATCAGCACCCCAGAAATGGGAATGGTACAGTATGTGTCAAAGGACGAATATGTCAAACTCACACCGGAAGAAAAGAAGGCCCTTCGTTGTAGGGATGGCACCATCTAGTGGGCCTTCCCCTGTCTGTTCTCCCTTGTGTCTCTGTATTGATTGTCTGATTATCGTCACCTGTGTCATGTCCTGTTTATGTATATAAAGTATGTCTGTTAGTTCTGTCGTTGTCGGTTCGTCGTTGGGTATTGCCTGTCCTGTCCTGCCTGTCTGATCCTGTTTAATCCTGTTCCTGAGTCTGTTTTGTAAGTTTTGCTGCCATGTCAGCCTTTTTGATTTATTATTATTATTACTATTAAAAGTATTTTATTTTATACGTCTGCCTCCTGAGTCCTGCCTGCGCAACTGGGTTCTTCTGTCCTGATCTGCCTTGAAAATCCTGACAGTATGAACCGACCAAAACCTGAACCCAGCAGGCAGACTCAGATTCAGACTCTGCTCACCTGTTTTTGCCCGAGCCTGTCCAGATGGAGGGAGCTGCGATCCGGTGCGGTGCCTTTTGGACTAGACCCGTCCTGGGA